ACACCCAGAACTCAATAACTTGAAGAAATCACCTACGGCTCTTTGACCTGCTTACCTGGTTACCTTACCTTATTACCTGCCTACCTGCTTACCTTATTACTTCTGTGATATTTTTGATCAATCAAGGTGGATCTTGCTTTGAGAAGTAATAAACCCCAATGGCTCAGTTACAGAGCATGCAACATGCCCAAAGAATATCATGGAAATTATTCCATCATGAAGATTAGAGAGACTTTCCCTACTTTCATGGATTCAGCTTGCTAAGAAGAACACAAGTAAGGTATAATTTCGAGAGAAAAGAGAGTCTCTTTTTTGCAAATAAGTAGCCAAAGGGCAGGGAAGAGAGGTAAAATATGTCATAGCATTTTACCTAGTCTTAACCATTACATGTGATGCTTTCAAATGGGTTACTAGTACCTTAATTTTGAGGGAAAAGAGTAGAAGGAACCAGTCAATGGTGTTACATGTTTAGTTTCTATGACACTGAACTCAAGAGAACTGAGACCTTTGGAGAAACCAAAGATGGTTCAAATAACTCATGAGAATAAATTAACTCAATGCTCCTTGCTGATGAGCTGATTTCCTAATAGTAAAGCAGAACCAGCAGCCACAGACAAAGAAGGTCTACCCTACAGATGGAAAAGAGATAAAGCACCGAAACTCAGCCCAGGGGAACCCCCCCAGCCCTGGGGTTCAGAGCAGTGGGCTCCTTCAGGAGCATCCGAGTAAGAAATCATCACCAGCGCAGCTTCCTGGGCACGCTCCTCCAGGCCCGGAGACCAGAGGGACACGGGGAGAGGGCTCGTCCTCAAGGTGGGGAGTCTACGTGGTTGCCCCAGGAGAAGCCACTTCCCTTCTAAAATGCCTGGGGTTTCCCACTTCAGCAGGGGATGATAACTCAGCACATACCAAAACAACGAGGGCCCAGGCAGATACCCAGCCTCCTCCTGCACATCGTGCGTCAGAAACCTGGCACAGCAGCCGCATCTCTTCCTGACAGAGGGAGAGGCTAGATACAGTCCTGCACACCTCTGCCCTCCGAAGGCTGGGGCCAGACCAAGGAGTCGCTAGGAGCTATAGCAGGACGTCAGAGCTGAGGTCATGAGGGCCAGGACAGAGGCTGGGCTGGCCTGGGAACTGCCCAGAGCTTTGGTCTCCAGGCCTGCCCCACCCCCCCAAAAGCAGCCAGCCCTTTCCAAGTAGATGCACTGCATGTCCCTAATATTCTCACTCCCAGTAATACCACCACTTTTCTCAAAGCAAAAACATTTCCCAGAGCCTTACAGGCCTGGCTGGTCTGCTCAGTAGGACTCAATCCCGGAAGGAGCTGCTAAATAAGCCACTCTTTCGGTTTATAGACTCTGAGGACTTAGTGACAAGTGAAACTGCTTTCTGAGAGCAACTGCAAGTTCTCTAACAGCTGGTGACTTCTCTTTTTTCTTGGGATATTCCCTCCTGCTAAATTACAGAACCAACCCAACCCACTAGAATAAAGACACAGGAGTGCAACTCCACATTTTCACATATGAGTTGTGGACGCCACCTCTTCTCCTGGGAGCTTAATACTCAATGGCAGTTACTTTTCCCCCTTCACTTTGAATGCATTGATGGACTCTCTGAACTGGATTCCACCAACACGTAGGAGGGCAGTCATGGGCAGTAATTCTAAGGGGCACAGAAAGGACCAGCCAGCCTAGACAAGGGCAGAGGAAGCAAAGTTCCTTGGTGTTTTCCTTCTTCCCCTCATCTGTCAGGACTCTCTTGGTCTCAGCTGGTAGTCACTTCAAATCAGTGATGGTGCAAGCCAGCAGTTGAGGCTATTATTAGTTAATAAATGCTGACAGCATGGCCTTTCCTAATCATTTGTACATATTAAAATATGAGGGATGAGCTCTCCAAGGGGAAAATCCACTGAGATCCAAAGCACGGAAGCTGTCGTGGTGGAGTTACGGATGTTGCATTAATGCTTTGGAGCAAAGAACCCTTTTTTCCAACAAGCAAATGGCAACCCAAGGCTAGGAAATTAATAAACACCCTAGATGCTAACAGTGTGTAAGGTGGTGTCCAACAGTGTCCTCTCAACCTCCCATACACTTGCATTCCCACCCATACATAATTCGCCCTTCCAGGGCTGCCAGAAGCACAGGATCTGAGATTAAGTCAGACTCCTTCACAGTCAAGGGTCACTTTCACCATTTTGAATAATGATGATGATCGTGGGTGGGGAAGGCTAAAACCTTCTGTCACAAAAACACTTAGCAGAAAGCCTGGAAAACAGCCTAACAATAAGACACAAGCTAGGCTCATTACCTAAATTGACAGACCAGGTTTGGGGAACTTCATGTTCACCATTGAGAGAGAGAGAGAGAGGAAATCACTTTTTTTTTTTCTTTTCTTCATCTTCTACTTAACTTTCAAAAAACATGCATTTGATGTCTTCAGAGGAGAAAAGACTGGGAGACTAGCTGACCACTGGCACAGGAGTCTGGCTCATTCATAAGCAAGGCTCCACCTGGACTGCCTGACACAGTTGGCTGGAGGACTTCTCCAAAGCAGAGACCCTGGGCCAAGGAATGTTACAAAAAGCAAGTATTAATTGCAGGATTACCATGCTCCAGGGATTTTTCACACAATCATCTCTTTCAGTCTTCACCACAGTGAAGTGCTATTATCCCAGTTTCATAGGTGAGCAATCAAGGGGCAGAGATCCTTGGCATTTCTTAGCCAAGGTCAGACAGTAAGTGGCAGAGTTGGGCTTTAAAGCCAAGCTGTGTGAACTCAAGAGCCAGTGCTTCTACCATGTACTTGACCATAGGAAATTGCCTCAGCATCATCTAAACAATGGGAAATTATAGTGTGTATATACTTGTGTACAAGTGTGTGTGTGTGAGTACACAGTATATGAACCAACAATGTAAACACAGAGGTGAGTACGTAGGTCGCCAAGAACAGCTCACCAGATTAGGGTAACAGAGGATTTAGTTGAAAACACCACAGGTCGGGCACTATCTCCGGGAAGAGGAGCTGGGAAGGAAGGAGACCAACTTCTCCCGTGCTGCCCTAATGCTCTGTCCCATCCTTTTATCATGCACGTGTACTTACTATTTTTAAAACTTTTAATTGAAAAATCTGTATGCTGTTGATTCACTATATGAAGTTTACTGAGTCATATATTATAAAAAATGGAAATATGAGAAGAAGCAGTCCCACACTACAGAGGCCCAGCACGTGCATTGCAGGGGAGCCAGGAGTGGTGGTTTCATTCAGTACAGGAGGCTTGGTTGGGGGCATCTGAGTAGTTCAAGACTTAAGAGTACTAAAAGCAAAACCATTCAGCCGTCCTCTCCCATTTTCATTTTCAAACTCCAAACCAGGCTACCACCACTACAGGATCTGCCTCTCTATTTAGAAAGTCAGTGAAAGAATGAATGACCTCACTTTCCCCAATAGGCAGGTCCCAACATGTTGTGCACAAAACAAAACTTGAGTAAATTGATTTGTATTTTAAATACCCTAGCTGAGGTCCCTGTTTTAGCAATCCTGACAAGATCCTCTTTGCAAAGCAAAGAAGTTGATTGTGATGTTAATACTGTGTTTTGTAAACAAAACATACAAAAAAGACGGCTTTTTTTCCCTTGTGTCATACAAGGGTCCTACTTTCAGTCTGGAACCAATCTTCTGAGCTGTTTGGGTGTTTGGGAGGCTGGGGGGAATGGCCTGGTATACAGATCATTTGCATGAAATCAAGGACCCTCTTGCAAAAGATATTTTAAGGACCGAGGAAGCCTCTACAAGTTCAACCCAACATGGAAGCCTGAGGCATTGGAGGGGAAGTGTAATTCCGAACCCAGAGTCCTGTTCTATCAGTAGATTTCTTCTCAGTTGCCTCTGGATTCAAAGCAAGTCATACAGCTATGAACACAAGCTCCAGAAAATGCCACAAGATCCTTCTCTGACATCCTACCAAAGAGGTGAGTGGTATTCTCCCTACTTCTACCCTGAACCCAGTGGGTATCAGGATACCAGCAGACTCAGCACCCACCCAGGGTCCTCCCAGTGGGAGCAGGATCACCCTATAGTCAGTGGTAGGGATAGCACCAGCAGCACAAGACAGCCTCCTCAGACAGAGATCAGGGTCTTCATGGGGAGCATCCCCAAAAGGCCACTAGGGAATGAGCAGAGCTGTGACTGATCTGGCCGAAGTGAGCAGGCGCAGCTGAGGAGGAAGCTGGCAGATGCCTCGCGGTGGCATTTATGTGGGAACCCCCACTGCACCTGGAGACTCCTAGAGAAAGTGCACAGGATTTGGGGGGAGTCAGGAGGTTCTGCAACAGCTGGCCACAGTGAGACCCAGGAAAGAACAGTACTGCTGAGGGCTCACAATATTCTTTTTGAGGGAGTGGGGGTGGAGAGGCTCGTAATATCTTATTTGTAATCCCAGGCCAGCCGGCTGTGGAGTGGTCTGAGGAAACTGAGGTCAGAACATCTTAGGTTTTTTACAAATACAAATAAACTGGAATACTAAAGCCTAACCAATGGTAATCAAAGTATTTTTTAAATCATAGTCAGCCTTAGCTTCTCCCTACCCCCTACCCCTCTAAAACTCTGCATGATTTCAGCTTTACTTTCTTTCTCAAGACATGGCAATGTGCTGAGTCACTAAAAAAAAAAAAAGTAAAGAAAGAGTGATCCAGCTTCTGAGGACTAGCCTTGGTAATGATCTAAGCTTCTACGCGGCACTTTTTGCCCTGGTTTGATTCCTGTGATGCTAAAGGACGTCACATTGAGCAATCTTAATAAGGTTTCCAATCAGCCCCACCCGCTCTGGCCCCACCCCCACCCTCCAACAAAGATTTATCAAATGTGGGATTTTCCCATGAGTCTCAATATTAGAGTCTCAACCCCCAATAAATATGAGACCGGGGATGTCTGAGACTCAGTCTGCCCTCGAGCCCACCAGGAACGAAAGAGAGCTCCATCTGCCCTCCAGGAACCCAGCTATGAACTCCCTCTTCACAAGTAAGTGAAGGAAATCCTTAGCCCAGGAACTGTGCCTGGCAGCCGTGCGGCGAGGGAGGGGGGTGTGTGTCTGCTGCTGTGAGGGCTGGCAGGCGGCCAACAGCCAGAAGCACAGCTCCCCCAGCGGCGCAGTCTGCTCACTGGCTGCTCTCCCTCTGCTCTGTCACAGGCGCCTTCAGTCCACTCGCTGTCTCCCTGGGGCTGCTCCTGGTGATGGCTTCTGCTTTTCCTACCCCGGGTCTCCTGGGAGAAGATTTCAAAAATGACACCACCCCAAGCAGACTACTTCTGACCACTCCAGACAAAACCGAAGCTCTCATTAAGCACATCGTCGACAAAATCTCTGCAATGAGAAAGGAGGTGGGTAGGCTCACCCCAGGGTGATGAGCACCCATGTGAGCATCTATTTCCTTGCTCTTGGATATGAACGGGGGCTTCTGCATTGGGAGGTCTTTGCTGGGTTTGGAGGCAGTTCAGACTTGAAGCCAAAGGGGCAGACTATGTCCTATAATTTCTCCTCTGCTGCTGGTCTCAGATGGTTCCTTTCCATCCTGGAAAATATACAGAGGGGCTGGGATCCCTGCCCCCAGCCCATTCTCAGCTCCATTCTTGGCATGAGCTGTGGATCACACTGCCTCTCAGGATTTCCTTTTCCATAACCAAAAAATAAGGTCTGTTGATCTTTTTTGTGATTTGGATTTTGGGAGGATTAAAAAGCACCACCTGAAATGACTGTTCAGCTTCTCAGGACAGTCACAGTACTTTTAGGTTATGCCAGTCCAGTGGTTAAGGACTCCCCAAAGTCATTCTGGCATGTAAGACGGATACCTGATAGTCCACCAAAGTGGCAAAATCATACATAGGCTACAGCAGCTCCCAAGCTTTAAATGTAAGGTAGTTTGGCTCTGCTTTGATAGAAAGAAAATAATACAGGAGAGGCAACTGGGAGTCCCAAATCTAGCTCTGATTCTGCTGGACAAGCTTTGTGATCTTGGGCAAATTCTTCAGCACCTCTGGGCTCCATCTGTAAAATTATGGCATTGGACTAGATGATCTGAAAGATCCTTCCAGCTGGGACATATAATTCTGGCTCAAATTATATTCATCCAATTATTATCAAAATTCCTATAATTTATTATGTTACCTACTATGTCCTGGCACTTTATAAAATATTGTTTTGTCCTCACAATAAACTTAATGGGGAGGCTTTTCATTATCTCCAACTTGCAGATATAGGGACGCTGAGACTGGGAATAGGTAATAACCATGAAGTCACAGGTGAGGCTAGAACTGAACCCAAGTGTGCCCATCTTCTGCAGAGCTCATTTGCCTGGATGCTAACGGACTGTGACTTCACTTTTCTTAGAGAACTTCCTGGCCATGAGAGATCATGCATCAGCCCTCTAGTGGTGTGAGTTTTAGGGGCATTCATATGATAACGGTTCTGATATTCTTTCCCAGATATGTGAGAAGAATGACAAGTGTGAAAACAGCAAGGAGACACTGGCAGAAAATAACCTGAATCTTCCAAAAATGGAGGAAAAAGACGGATGCTTCCAATCTGGGTTCAATCAGGTACAAATGCATTATGTTCACTTTTCACTACTCCTTAGTCAAAAGTTCTCCCCCTTGCATGAAGCATCTGTATACATAAAGACCAGGCAGGCAATGAAGAAGGGGATTAATATAAAGAACATCATGTGAATTTCATGAGGAGACCAACTTAAATGATATTAAAGGCAACTTCTTTTTTAACAACTTCGTCAAATATAGCCCCTCTGGGCTGGGGTTTTCACCACTGTCAAGTGTTAGGAAACCCCAGAGGTTTAGCTAGTTCATCATGGGTAAGGTGGTCCAGGAGCCTCTCTCCTCTCTGGCTGCCCTTAGCAGGATCTAGGCCTGCCCTCCCTGCCGAGATCATTCTCTACACCCTTCTCCTCAGACAGTGCAAAAACTCCCACTGACTTCTGATTATTTCATAATAGGAGGTTTCACCCTAACATTGACAAGGGCAGGAGTGCAGCCAGAGGGAAGAGCTTTATGGGGTGTAACAGAGGATGGCCTCTTGCCATAATCTAGCATCTACTGGGCTTTGAGAAACATTTAAGTGGTGCCTCTCGTTGTGCAGGTATTCTAAATGGGGCAGCTGATGCTGTCCAATGTCTCAAAACATGATGCTTAAGAAGTACTTGAAGTTCCCTTGAGGGGAACAGGCAGAAATTGTTGAATTATAGCAATTTTAATTTCTAAAATCGATTATGCCTTACTGGCAATAACCAATTTTACCACTGTCTTTCCTCTTAGGAGACTTGCTTGATCAGAAGCACTGTTGGTCTTCTGGAGTATCAGACATACCTGGACTACCTCCAGAATGAGTATGAGGGAGATGAGGAAAATGTCAAGGATTTGCGGAGCAGCGTCAGAACACTGCTCCAGATCATGAGGCAAAAGGTGAGTGTCCCCTCGCCTGACTCAAAGAAGGCAGCCTAGACAACTCGGCAGTGCAAAGCCAATTCAAAAGAGATGGCTGTGTGTAAAGGAAAAGATCTGACAAATATTTCCTGATAGTTAAAGCCTTTTCTTTTTCCTGTCTTCTGCAAATGACATCAATAACTATATTTAAAGCTCAGTTAAGGGGGAGGGTTTTAACATCAACTTCTAAAAGTTTAAGAAATAAGGGAAAAAAGTATCTGTAGAGGCAGAAGGAAGCATATCCAACCTCAAGTAACAATCCATAATAACAGAGAGCACAAAAATTATTTAAGATTGCCAAATGACATTCTTGTTATTATGGTAGTTTCAACTCCTTTCCCTTACTCTTTTGCCGAGGAGTTAATGCAGAGAAAAGGCTAAAGGTTGGAAGAGCAGGTACCAAGGGCTTTGGTCACTACCAGCTAGCCATTCAAATGCCACATGGTGTAAGCTTGATGGCACAATTTGTAGATGAGCCAAAGCGCAGAGAGAAGGAGAAGCAGGCACATGGGTGCTAATCCTCCCTCCCTTTTCTAGCTCTGTGCCTTATACCAGGGCTTCTCCCCCTCGAAGGTGCAGACGACTTTCCCAGAGGATCTTGTTACAGTGTAGAGTCTGACTCAACAGGTCTAGGGTGAGACCTGAGACTCACATTTCTAACAAGCACCTGGCGATGCTGAGGTTGCCGTGCTCCAGGATCACAGGTGGAGGTGCGAGGCCTTCCACCATGACTTAGCTCCAAGTCAGTGGGTCTATGGAAAACTGTTTCCCAATCCTCTTTACGCCGCCAGAGCAGCTGACTCTTAATAGATGTCAGATGGATGGGTGAGAGCAAAGCCAGAGAAAAGTATTCGAGTTAGAAGCCCCCGAAGAACCCATTAAAATGCCTTTAACTAAAAGTTCTTCATACACCTACTGAATTCTAACTTTGTGCCAGGCACTGTTTAGGATGACAGAAAACAAGTAAGATACGATGGCTACTCGTGAGATGCTTATGGTCTAACAGAGACAGAGCAGCAAAAAGTATTAGAGCTCAGTTGCTGTGAGATGGTCTCATGCTGGGTGGGCTCAGAGCAGAGGGACCTCCCCCTATCTGGGCGAGTCAAGGCCAGTGGTCCAATCTGCTCCTTCACCCCAAATTTGTTTGAACATCTTCCCACAGGCCACAGTGCCTCTATACTGCAAAAGACTTCTTCAATATTTAAACAATTCCTTTTGTTTTGTGTTCCCTTCATGTAAAGAGCATAGATCTAGTAACCACTCCAACCACAAACCTGGACCTGCTGGAGAAGATGCAGTCCTCAAACGAGTGGGTAAAGAACGCAAAGATTATCCTCATCCTGAGAAGCCTTGAGAATTTCCTGCAGTTCAGCCTGAGAGCTATTCGGATGAAGTAGCTGGGGCTCCCATGATTGTGGTAGTTCCTGGGCATTCCCTCCTCTGGTCAGAAACCTGTCCACTGGGCACATAACTTATGTTGTTCTCTATGAAGAACTAAAAGTATGAGCGTTAGGACACTATTTTATCTTTAATTTATTGATATTTAAATATGTGATATTGAGTTAATTTATATACATGATAGGTATTTATATTTTTATGAAGTGCCACTTAAATATTTTATGTATTTGGTTTGAAAAAGTAACGTAAAAGTGGCTGTGCGGCTTGAATGTTTTTGAATATTGTTTTGGAGCCAAATCATTTCTTGAAATGTGTAGGCTTACCTCAAAAAATTTGCTAACTTATGCATATTTTTAAAGGCATATTTATATTGTATTTATATAATGTTTAAGCTCTTTTTATGCCAATAAACTTCTTTTTTAAAGAAAAAAAAAGCAACTAAACCTCTGTATGTGTCCTGTGAAGCTTAGTATAAACAAGTTTCTGTCACTACCACCACCACTAAAACAAAAAGCTACAGTCACCTGGAGGGAGGTATAATTGAGCACCTACTGCATGCCAGGCACCGAGCCAATGCGTTGCATGCATCATATTTAATCCTTGCATTTGCACACTTTTCTCTGGAGGTGGAGAGTAAGTGATTCCCTCGGTCACCCAGCTGAAAAGTAAACCACAGGCCCGGTCTTCCTGCCTCCAGGCTCCCTACTCTTAACCTTCAGGTCCTCTGCCTCCCAGGGAACTGACAGATGATGTAGAAAATCTCAAGAAAATACAGGGAATACATTTTAAAGATGCAATCACACACCTTTAAGATGGTATAACCACTTACAGAAGACATAGCAATAGGCAAGCTTCTGAATAATAACTAGAAGTTTTTATTCCTGGGTTCCTCAAACTGCACAGACCTGTCCATCACAGCAATGACCACACTGTATCACATCTTAAAATGGGTGGATTTTTCTTTCCAGTCAACATATGGGGCCCACAAGAAGGCAGACTCTATTTATTCATCTTTGCATCCTGAGCCCACAGACCAGAACATGAACATTCAGTTCAGTTCAGTCACTCAGTCGTTTCTGACTATTTGCAACCCCATGGACTGCAGCATGCCAGGCTTCCCTGTCCACCACCAACTCCAGGTGTTTACTCAAACTCATGTCCACTGAGTCAGTAATGCCATCCAACCATCTCATCCTACGTCATCCCCTTCTCCCACCTTCAATCTTTCCCAGCATCAGGGTCTTTTCCAATGAGTCAGCTCCTCGCATCAGGTGGCCAAAGTATTGGAGTTTCAGCTTCAACATCAGTCCTTCCAATGAACACCCAGGACTGATCTCCTTTAGGATGGACTGGTTGGATTTCCTTGCAGTCCAAGGGACTCTGAAGAGTCTTCTCCAACACCAAAGTTCAAAAGCAACAATTCTTCAACACTTAGCTTTCTTTATAGTCCAACTCTCACATCCATACATGACCACTGGAAAAACCATAGCTTTGACTAGATGGAACTTTGTTGACAAAGCAATGTCTCTGTTTTTTAATATGCTGTCTAGGTTGATCACAGCTTCTCTTCCAAGGAGCAAGCGTCTTAATTTCATGGCTGCAATCACCATCTACAGTGATTTTGGAGCCCCAAAAAAGTCTCTCACTTTTTCCAATGTTTCCCCATCTATTTGCCATGAAGTGATGGGACTGGATGCCATGATCTTAGTTTTCTGAATGTTGAGTTTTAAGCCAACTTTTTCACTCTCCTCTTTCACTTTCATCAAGAGGCTCTTTAGTTCTTCACTTTCTGCCATAAGGGTGGTGTCATCTGCCTATCTGATGTTATCGATATTTCTTCCAGCAAACTTAATTCCAGCTTGTGCTTCATCAAGCCCGACATTTCACATGATGCACCCTGCATATAAGTTAAATAAACAGGGTGACAATATACAGTGTTGATGTACTCCTTTCCCCATGTGGAACCAGTCTGCTGTTCCATGTCCCTTCTAACTGTTCCTTCTTGACCTGCATACAGATTTCTCAGGAGGCAGGTAAGGTGGTCTGGTATTCCCATCTCTTGAAGAATTTTCCAGTTTGTTGTGATCCACACAGTCAAAGCAGGCCCCAATTAACATTTACTGAATGAAGAAACTACATATAGATAATCAAACCTAAGATACTTCAATTCTTAGGGATATATGCTGTTGGTCAATGAGTGGGGAAGTTACTAGTACTGTGCACTTATGAATCTTTATCTTAAGGGAAAAAACAGTAAGACTTAGGAAGAAACATTCTAAGACCTTCTAGAGGAGACAGTGACTAGTCAGTGCATGTATATCTGCCTCCATTTTCTTTCCCACCAGTGATATTCTCCATCTGCCTTCTCCTCTCACCCCAGCTAAGAGTGGTGGTAAGAGAGACAACCTGGGGAAGTGCACATGGTCCCTACATCTCATATCAACACTATGTTGGGAATTTGGCACAGATTTCCCCTCTTAAGTCCCAGCCATATAAAAGTTCTGTCTTCTTAGTAAAGCTTTTCCCACCCTAACCACCACAGATGTCTTCCTCTGAGGGAGGAGTTCTGCTCAGCAAGGGAAAGTCCACAGGAGTCAAGAACTGAGAGGGGTTAAGCAAGAGAAGAGCCACATACTCTGCTTTCTAGAAACCATGCATCACAAGCAGGTTTCTGAAAATCAGAGCTAAATTCAAAGAGTAAGAGAAAAAGCAGTTAACAAACACCTCCACTCTTCAAAAGAGAATGTGTGAGCATCATATATGTTAGGTGATGCTGGGGATGCAAAGGTGAACAAGTAAACATGTTTGTTCATGTGGTTTACACTATGGCAGGAAGGCAGATATTGAACAATGTAATGGATGTAAATGTGAGGAAGTTTACAAAAGAGAAATGTCAGGCATACCCAGAACCCTATTACAGGCCCCAGTAGTGGAGGCATCTAACTATGTCTGGGGAGGGCAGTAATGGAGGCTTAATTGAGGAAGAGGGGTTTGGGCTGAGATGTGAAAGATAATGTAGGAGTTAGCCAAGCCAAGATGGGTGGGAAGAGCATTCCAGCCTGAGGGAACAGCATGTACAGTGGTTTGAATCCACAAAGTGCACACTATGGTTGAGAACATGAAAAATACATGATGTCCAGGGCATAAAGAATGAGAAAAAGGATAGCTGAGAGTGGATGGAGAGGAAGGCTGAGACCAGACTGAGAGCATCAGGAGCCATATTAATATAAAAATAAAATTTCAAAAGCCATAAAAATTTGGAATTTATCCCATATGTGATGAGAAGGCATTGACGGTATTTCAGGAGTAGAATGACATCTGTGATTTACATTTTAATGTGCTCACTCAAGTTGCAGTGTGGGAAATGGATGGGAAAGAGGCAGGAAGAGATTGCTGGGGGAATATATCAGAGGCCTTCATTATAGTCCAGGGAGGAAATGGATTAGGATGGTGAGAATGGCTTAGAGGAGAGAAGGCAATGGCAGTCATCAGCAAGAGACAGGTGGGGCTAGTTCAGTAGGATGTGGTGATTGTTGACCAAGATTCAGGAATTCTAGGGGACACAAGCTTTGGGAGAGGGAAGAAGAAGGAGTTGAGTGGAAAATCCAGAGAATTTTGAATTTGAGGATTTTCATTTATTCAAATACTCTCTGAGCTTCTGCAATGGGTGAGATTCTCTGCTAGGCCCAGGGCATATAATGATAAATAAAACAGACTAGGTCTCCACTCTCAGGGAGCTTAGCGTCTAGGGAAAACAATTTAAAGAAATAACTACTATGCTAAGTATGTATGCTACTGTTACAAGCAGGGAGCCCACCCACGCAGAGAGGCATTGAAGTCCTAACCCTTGCACCTGTGAGTGTGACCTTACTCAGAAATAAGATCTTTGCAGAGGTAATGAAGACAAGAGGAAGTCATGAGACACATAAAGAGGCCCAGGGGAGACGTCCGTGCGAAGAGAGAGGCAGACAGTGGAGAGATGCACCTACAAACCAAGCACTAAGGGTCGCTGACAACCACCAGAAGAGGCAAGGAAGAAGGATCCTCCTCTGGCGCCTGTAGAGAGAGGACAGCCCTGCTCGCACCTTGACAGCAGACATCTATCTTCCAAAACTGTGAGAGAATAAACGTGTGTTGTGTTAAGCCACAGTTTGGGGTAATTTGTTATAGAAGCTCTAGGAAACTAATACAGCTATTATGACAACACAAAGTAGGAGAATCTAACCTAAAATAGAGTTCAGAAAAAACTCACTAGAATAAGTGCCATTTAAACTTATACTAAAAGAACGTATGGAGATGGTGAGGGACAAGCTTACACCAAAAGAATGTATGATGGAGAGGGACGAGGAAGCCTGGCATGCTGTAGTCCATGGGGTTGCAAAGAGTTAGACATGACTTGGCACTGAACAACAACAACAGAAGAATGTATAGGATTCAGCCAGTTGGAGAGGTAGGAAAGGTGTTTCAAGCAGTAAGCACAGCATGTGCAGAGGCTCAGAGGTTGGAGAGAACATGTTGGAGGAACTGAAGGAAGTATAAATAACTGAAGCACAAAGAAGAAAGCGGTACAAACAGAGCTGAAGCAATAGGTTCAAGTTACGAAAAATCCTGAAGGGTGGATTAAATAAAAATGTTGATATAACAGAAAGATAGAGCAATTTTCTTAGAATTTTTTATTTCTTTTTGTTTGTTTGTTTGCTTTCTCGCTTTTTTTTTAAATGTTGAGGGATTTTTCATCATCTGGTGGCATGGGTTAAGGAGATTTGGATCTAAACCTCTATATCAGGTAGTATAGAGAGCATCTACAAGAGATCTACTTTTCTGTAGTGGGTTCCAGCAACAGGGCAGACCATACTAGAGAGGTGAAGGGCAAGAACAAGAGAAGATGAGAAGGAGCATGTCAAGGTGTGTCTTAAAAAGAACTTCAGATATTGTGATGTCAGGTATCAAATTTTCATTTATCTTCTCCCTTACTCATACATCTTCCATGAGTTTTATT